CATTCTCCGAGAGAGGGGGCCGGCGGCAGGGGGCGAAGCCCTTACGGATAAGATTGCGACCCAACCTGAATCGCGAGCCGCCCTCCGCCGATCGAGTCCGTTGGCGTTCTGTCATGAGCGCATCCGGGTGCCCTGGGAAGGTCTGGGAGCGCCCCGGGAGGGCCACGGCTCGCCAGGGGGAACCTTTCACCAGTCTGGATCGCCAGACCCCCGCTTCGAGCTGTCAGCCCTCAGGCCCCCCTTTACCAGCCTCGAACGTATCCCTATCCCTAAGATTGACACGCCAAAAGGCGATGACAATCTTAGGGATGCGCCCTCAAAAAATGAGGGAATCCCTAAGATTGGCACCGTGATGAGGAGGTGCCCAGCATGGGGATAGGGATATGTTCCAGGCTGGTAACCCCTTCCGGCACTCCAGACGTTCCGGGGCCAGCCCGAAGTGTCGCCCTCCCGTGGGCCGAGCTCCTCCCCGCACATCGTGGGGCCACCTATAAGGAGAGGCCGAGGGCCAGGGCCGGCAGGTGGCCACCCCGAGATCGGCGCGACGGCTCGCCCACGACGCGGGCCTCTCACGCGCTGCCGGCCGGACCCGCGGGACCCGTGCTCCGTCGCGGGCCGTCTTTCCCGCTCTTTCGGGGGTGGACAGAGCCCCCAACAGTGACACGTCGATGAGTAAATTGTCCGTGTTCGGTTCTCGAGAGGGCGCCGTTGCCGTTCTTTTCCAGGCTTGCGCCCGCCAGGTTTGGGCCTCAGGTCGTTTCCACGAAACCAGGCTTTACTAAAGGGAGGTCTGTCCATCCCCGAGTCTTGGTCGGAGGAGGTCCAGTCAAGGCAGCGGCGGCCTCCCTTGGCGTGTTTCGCCCTCCGGGGGGCCCGACGGTCGGCGTCGAGCCTTGAGTCGAAGCAGCACAAGTACGGATTCAGGCGCGTGGAGTAGCGGCGGGTCCAGCTTCAGTCGGGTATGGCCAGGACCCCTGGGGTAAGGGGACCCGGTTAGTGGCAGGGCCCCGGAGCCCCAGAATTGGCCAGAATCACTAAACCAGGTTGCCATAGCTTGTGTTTTGTCGGGTGACGGCAGTTCCGGTTAGTGGAAATGAGACGGGGGGGCGCCCCCGGCACAGATCACTAAGCCAGGTTCCATTAAACCCAGTTCCACCAACGCCCGATTCAGGGCAAAGTTGACGTGTTGCGTCGCCGGATGAGGCGGCACGGACCTGATGTTTCGGGGGGTGCGTTCTCCGGTCCATTGATATTTGGTACTGCGCGGCGAATCCACGGAGCCGTAGTCCATGTCAGCGCGCGCCTTTCTCAGAAAGCGGCGGGGCTAAGCCCTCGCGCGTTCTGTGGAGCCTTGCAGGTCACCCCCAAAGCCGACGACGACGAGGACGACGACGACGAGGACGAGGACGACGAGGACGATGATGATGATGACGACGACGACGACGACGACGACGACGACGACGACAACAGCGAGGACGACGAGGACGACGAGGACGAGGACGACGAGCACGACGACGACGGCGACGAGGGCGGCGACGGCGGCGGCTGCGGCAGACGGCGGCGGTCACGCGCGCGAGCGCGGCAGGCCGCACAGAGGAGGGCCGGGCTGGTCGAGCTGGGTCTTCAGCTGGGCTCGGAGGCGGACCGCAAGGACTCAGCCGCGCGCGGGAGGGTTAGGGTAAGGTCCAGTCGGGCGTGTCCCTCTGCAGGAGGAATATTCAAAAATAGTCAAACAAGTAATCTGGGGACGATTCTTCTATTATTTGTTTTTTGTATTATGTTTTGGATGTTCTTTGGCTATGTTTTTTTGTTCGTCCAAACTTCGCCTGTACGGGGGGCATGCCCGACCTGAGCTTATGGAAACGAGCATTGACATAAACATAAAAGCTCTGAAGGCCGCGCGGATTTCTCGGATCGGCGCTGGGGCCCCCTAGCGGCGCCTCGGGCGCCGCCCCTTGCACGCTCCGCGCGCCATGGAGGGGTGTCCAGCGCGGATCCAAGAGTTCCGCGCGGACCTCCGAGTTCTTATGCTTATGTCATTGATCGTTCCCCTAAGGGTGGCAGGGGGAGGGGGGAAGGCTTCTCAGAAGCACCCCTGCTTCTGGAAGGTGCGGCGCTTTTCTGTGGATGTAAGGTCGGCGCCGTCTGAGAAGCAGCCTCCTTCTAAGAAGCCGCCCCCCCCCCTACCCCCTTGTTCAGGAGGGGAAAAAACACACAGACACAATTAATCGTCGATTCCCCAGGAAATATGGGAAAATATGGGAAGTGGGGGGGAGACAAAAGCCTAGAAGATATAGGAAAGTATGGGGAATCTGGTCATTTGTGTGTGTGTGTTCATTAGTGTGTCCAAGGGCCCCTTTCACTTGTACGCGCTGCCAGATGACGCCTCCCGCTCGGGTCGCGCGGCGTGTTCCGGGGGCCTCGCCCGTCGGAGGAGCGTCGGAGAAAAGCGTAAGACTCGGGTTCGCCAGAGCTCGGGTCCGCCAGCGCTCTCGACTGTGGCGGTCCAGTGCTCGTCGTGGGATGTTTGCAGCGGAAGCTCGGGTCAAGCTGGGTAGTCGAAGGCCAGACTGTCAGATTGGATTGGGCCCCACGGGCCAATCTGGCTTGGCCAAACTGGAAGATTTGGGTTCTTCGCCAGACTGGATTCGCGTTGGCTCCCTCGCCAGATTGCCCCCGTTTGCCAGGTTGGGCCTGCCAGATTGGCGCCAGATTGGCTTCGACTACCCAGTCAAGTTTCAGAGTGGATCTCGTCATTCTGTCGACGGCCTCGCCAGGCCGACCCGAGCCCCCCGAGTTCGAGTCTTCCGTCTCCCGAGGAGGTCCCCTCCGATCCAGTCGTGGCGGTCTCCTCTCGGGCCCCAGGGACCCTCGCAGCTGGGCCCCGGCTCGAGAGAGGACGCCTGAGAAGGGTCTCTGGGTTCTGATGGTGTTTTTGTTTCGGCAGTTTTGTTAGCGACGCTTGGTGTGAGGGATTGGCTGCTGCCCGAGGCACCGACGCAGCTACCGTTGCCTCGCCTTCGCTGATTGGGGGCTTCTTGGGAGGCCCTCGTCGCCACGGCCGGATCCGACTCGAGATTCTGGTCAGACTGCACCCCGGATGGTGGCATCGTGGAGTTTCCCAGATCTGTCCAATATACACACAGTGCCGTTTTGAATACATGCTCCGCGTGCGGATCATGTATGAAACATGCAGGGATTTAGTATCAAAAACAACGATGAGCTCATGCACAAATTTATATTCATACATTAATCATGTATTAACCCCGGGCGCCGCCCCTGGCGCGTCCCTGTTGTTTATGCAGCTTCCGGCGCTCACGAGAGACGGGGGCCGATGCAAACGGGGGTCCGCCAGAGCGCCGGATCTTTCGGGTATTGCCAGGACCCTGGGTTAAGGGGACCTGGTTAGTGGTAGGGCCCTGGGGCCCCTCAATTGGCCAGATTCACTAAACCAGGTTTGCCGTAAATGGTTTTTTCCGGGTGACGGCAGTTCCGGTTAGTGGAATGGGGCGGGGGGGCGCCCCCGGTACAAATCACTAAACCAGGTTCCACTAAACCCAGTTCTGCCAACGCCCGAATCTTGCAGGATCCTGCAATGCCAGGGGCGCACTGACCCTGGTTTGGGTGCAGGATCTTGCAGAATCTCGCAGGCTCCTGAGAACCCCGACCGACCCAGGTCTGGACTGACCCAGGCTGGGCAAGCTGACCAAAGGGCGCCGCAAGGGGGGTGGCTGGGCCACCAAACCACCCCAACCCAACCTGAGGGCCCCGATTTGCCCTCCACTTCCGGGCGGGGCGTCGGGGGGCATTGAAAAAACAGATGTGAAGCCCGTACCCCCCCAACCCGCAATTCGGGCGAAATTCGCTCGGGTTGGGTTGGGGTGGCCTGGTAGGTAGTCAGCTGGGGGGGAGCCCGGACCCCCAATCACCAATCACCCGTTCCTCGCCCACATCGGGGCCCTGGGCCCCCAGCCTGCACGGGAGCGTCGTGTTCTGCCATGCTTGGCTCTTACCGTTCGCAGGGCCATGTTGGCGATACTAGGAAAGCTGCGATGAGCTTACTTCAGTTACTCGAGCACTGGCCGTGTGGTGTCTCCGCCCCCACCGCACAATTCGCAATAGTTGGCAGCAGTGTAAGATGACGGTTGACAAATGCCCGTGGAGGTGGGGGATGTCCTGCAGCAACGCCTTGGGCGATGATTCAGACATTGAGTTCCAGGCATTATCGTCGGTGAGATTATTTTGGTCGTCTTCTCCAATTTCTTTTCCAGTAGCAGAGAGCTGTGTGTAATCGCTCCCCGTGTGTTTGAATCCTCGGTGAGTTGGAGGAGGAGGGCCCGTTGAGACAAAGACGGCTATCCCGCCCAGCCCACATCGATTCGACAAATTGTTTTCGGCCCCTCCAGGGCTCTGGTGTTTCGAGGCGGATCGAGCCGTGGCGTCGAGACTCTCCCAGGTGGCCCAAGAAGGACGAAACACGCCAAGGAGGGCGGCCGCTGGTAAGGCTTCGGGTTCCGCACGGGCTGCCCCCCGAGGCACGCCCAGCTGGCCTCGACAGGCCACCCGAGCAGTCCAGGGCGGTCTCAACACCCCAACCCTTGGGCGCGGATGGCCCCAGGGGCGCCGCGAGGAGGCGGCGACGGGGTGTCGAGACACCCCTCGGCTGCTGGGGGGGGCCTGTTGACCTGACCACCCAGAGGGGGCTGCCGTTGCGCAGCCCGAAGGCTTCTCAGTCTGGAACGGCCAGGCCTGCATGGTGCCGGAGCGCACGCGCCCATCGCTGCGCCCGGCAGGACCGCGCGGCTGCCGCGCTGCGAGAGTCGGAGAGGGAGGCCACGTCGGCCCTGAGGAACCTCGCCGCCGTCAGGGCGGAGCTGCAGGCGCCGCCGGGAGGGGGTCGAGCGCCAGGGGCAACGAAGGGGGGCGCCTGAGGCTGCCTTCGGGGCCTCCTAGATGGGGTCCGAGTAGGTGGGGTCGGAGGATCGCGCCGCATCGCCGATGCATCGCCGATGCGGTTCGATGTGGAGCCCGATTTGCTTCACGTCGACATCGCCGCTGCATCGCCGACGTCGACGATGCCTTGCCGGTGCATCGCCGATACGTCGCCGATACATCGCCGATGTATCGGCGATGCGGCGCGATCCTCCGACCCCATCTACTCCGACCCCATCTGGGAGGCCTCTATTCGAGGGCTTCAAGGCTCGAGGCCTTCGAGGTACGAGGTTTTTGGGCGTCGTCGTAGGTCCTCGGCAGGTCTCGAGCCGTCTGGGATGGCTTCGGCAGCTGCGCATCGCCGAGGGCGCTCTGGGGGCGCCCAGGTCCTCCCGAAGGGCCGCCAGAGGCCCGAGCTGCGACCCGGAAACTCGTTCGGGCCAGACGAAAGGGGGGCATTGGGAAAGGGGGGGTTACGAGTCGGGGGTGGACAGACCTCCTATCCTGACACTTCGATTAGTGAATTGGCCGTGTTCGGCGTCGCGGCCGTCATTTTTGCAGGTCCAGCCGTCGGTTTCGGTCCAAGGCCGTTTTCACTAAGGGGAGGTGTACTAAAGGGAGGTTTGTCCACCGCCGAGCGAAATTTGCTGCGTGCAGCTGGTTTCGGCCTCACCGAGGGGCCCATTCCTCGATGCATGGCCGCCTCCGGCGCCGGGGGGCGCCGGAAAATCATCAACGTAAGCTGATTCTCAAACCCCCCCTTTGCTATCCCCCCCTTTCGCCCGACCCGACTCATTGGCCCGGATCCTTGGGTCAGGAGGAGAGGAAAAACACAGACACAATGAATCGTCGATTCCCAGGAAAAGATTGGAAGACATGGGAAGTGGGGGGAAGACAAAAACTCAGAAGATGTGTGGAAAGACGGGGAATCTTGGGATTTGTGTGTATTTATTTGCGTGTCCCTGGGCCCCTTCAAAATTCATTGGGGGGTGGATGGGTTCAGGGTGGAATGCATGGACCCCCAATCACCTTTTCATCGTCGATGGGAACGAATGTGGGCTTCCCCTGTCGGGGGCCGATGGCCGATCGATCGGCGAGATGCATCGCCGATTCCAGGTCGAGGTCCCCCCCCCTGGGACAGCCCCCCTCTTGGCATCTTCGGGGCATCCACCTTGCCCTGTTCTCTCACTGGCAGTCTTCGCTTACATCCCGACGCTGGCTTGGCGCACCTTCGACGTAGCTTCCGCGCGGGCTCGACGCGGAGAGCGCCGCGGTGGGACAGGCGAGCCCCTCTGGAGGTGCAGCTCGGCGCCAGGGGGGGGGTCTCGGAGGCGACGATTGGGGCGAATGGTCCAGGGGGGAGCAACACATGCATCCAGGGGCGCCGATGATCTAAGTCTTCGACGAGGCTCCCGGGCGAATACGTGTAATGCCCGGCCCTGGGCTAGGGGAACAACAAGTGACAGAAACACAAAAACTCGGAGGTCCGCGCGGATTTCTCGGATCGGCGCTGGGGCCCCCCGGCGGCGCCTCCGGCGCCGCCCCTGGCGCGCTCCGCGCGCCAGGGAGGGGGGTCCAGCGCGGATCCGAGAAATCCGCGCGGGCCTCCGAGTTTTTATGTTCATGCCACGTTTTGCTCCCCTATAGTATACTATCGTCGCCGCCGACAAGAGGGGGTCCAGCGGGCCGCACCCTCGGCCCCAGCGGGCCGCAGCCTTTCGGGCCGTGCTCTCTATCGGCCAGCGGGCCGCGCTCTCGTGACGGCCACGGGGAGCCTCCGAGGGCTTGTGGGCCCCGCCGGCCGCGCGAGGCTCTTCCCCACGGGGCACTCGGAAAATCTCAGGGCCATCGCCTTTCGGGCTGGTGAGGGACGCTCGGGAAGGGATCTCTCCTCGTCCCAGCCCGCCCGACCACCCCCACGGACGGCCCCGGCACCTGCCCGGGGGTGCGCTCCGGGCCGGGGCTTCGAGGTGCAGTGCGGCCGTGGCGACGAGGAGGCCCCACTGGAGGCAGCAACAAGAACATTTTTTGTTTTGGTTCGCGGGTCGAGAGCGCACCTCTTCCGGTCGAAGCCAAGCGGGCCGCGCGAAGCTTGAATTGACAGAGGGGGGGGGGCAGAAGGGGGGCGGCCTCGCGGCAAGGCCAGGAGAAGGCGGCCGCGGGATCAGGCGGTGCCGAAAACGACGTGCTTGCACAGGTACGCCTCGTACAGGAGCCCGGTGGCGAAGTACCGGAAGAAGCAAAATGCAGCGGTTGGGAAGGAGGGAAAAAACACACCGACACAATTAATCGTCGACTCCCAGGAAAATATGGGAAAATATGTGAAGTGGGGGGGAAGACAAAAACCAAGAAAATATGTGAAAATATGGGGAATCTTGTTATTTGTGTGTATTTATTTGTGTGTCCCAGGGCCCCTTCAAAATCGTGCTCTTGCGCCAGGATCGGGCCGAACGAAGCAGAGGATAGGGAAAGGGGGGAGGGGGGGGGTACGAAATCTGCTGCATGCAGCTGGTTTCGGCCCCGCCGCCAGGCCCACTCCTCGATGTACGGGCACCTCCCAGCGCTGGGGGGCGCTAGGAAAATCAGCGACGTGAGCTGGTTCTCTGCCCTACCCTTTGCTATCCCCCTTTCGTCCCCCCCCGTCAGGACCAGCTACGTTTTTAGTCCGAACGGGCACAATCTAGGGTCTTGGGGAGCGAAGAATACATAAACATGGAAACTCGGAGATCCGCGCGGATTTCTCGGATCCGCGCTGGACCACCCTGGCGGCGCCTCCGGCGCCGCCCCTTTGGCGCGCTCCGCGAGCCAGTGAGGGGGGTCCAGCGCGGATCCGAGAAATCCGCGCGGACCTCCGAGTTTTTATGTTTATGTCATTCTTCGCTCCCCTGAAATCCGTTGCATTAGGAAAGCAGTATGGTGCAAATGACCGTGCCTCGACCTACTTCACCGAGCGCGTTCCACGACTCGCAGAGCGCCTACTCGCAAACGCCGACAACAACGAGCGTTGTTCGATGCACCGGAGCCTGTTCGCCTCGACGCAGTGGATCCAGGCCATTTGCGACCAGCTACTCTGCGAGTGACGGAACGCGCTTGTCTGCAGCTCCTCCTCGGCCCGCGCCTCGCCCCCGCCTGCCAGCAGGGTCCGCTGCTGGGTCGGTTCTGCTCGTTTCTGCCGGGCCGCGCGGGGCCTGTGGCGCCGGGGCCGCCCCGCGTGGGATGGACCCAGGACCTCTGGCCCAGCTGCCGGCGGGCCGCGGCCCCCCCCGTGGCCCGTGCGTGGGGCCACTTGAGCGAGCGTTGTTGCCTTCTCAACTTGGCTCGATTGTTGGCTCTGCCCCGACAGAGGTACAGTCAACGCGCCTAGTAAGGGCGCGCGCCTTCATCTAGGGTACCCACGCTTGTGTCCTTGCCTCTGAGGCTCGTCCTTGCCATTGTCACTGGTCGCCCGCCGCCCTAGAAAACCCAACTTCGGCCTCCAAGGGTCTTGCATCCTTATCACCCGTCCTAAATCTACGTTTTGATTGTATTGCCAGGAACTCTCTTGGAGAGTGGTGATTGGGCGTTGTAAGCGCCACAGAGTTGTAAGCAAAGTGGCATCAATGATCTATGCTACTGCTGCTGCTGCTGCTGCTGCTGCTGCTGCTGCTGCAGCACAGCCCCTTCCGTGTCCCTTGCGTGACCCGCCCCTACTCCTGGCAGAGGGCGGATGCACCCGGCGCGACCACAATTAAAGAAAAGTTTCCCATTGCGTGGGCGTAGTGCTTGGCTTTGCTTGGCATTGCTTGGCGTTGCTTGGCGTTGCTGAGCATTGCCTCGCATTGCTTCGCATTGCTTCGCAGTGCTTCGAATTGATTCGCATTGCTTGGCAGTGCTTGGCAATGCTTGGTCGGTTCTACAAAAATCGTAGCCTCGGTGCGTTGCGAATGTGACGCTGAGCGCATTTTTCAAGGTGTGGTGTTCCTTCTCATCACCGTGGTGCATTCCCGCCCTCTCCAGCCTATCTCAGGGAGGGGACCGGATAATTACGCGCGGCGCGGCCAGCCTGGTCAAGATGTCATTCCAGTGATCGGCCCTTCTGTGGCTTTGCAGCCTGGGCTTGCGCATGTATGTCCAGCGCGTGGCCCCCAGGTGCCCCACATGTGAATTCCGTCTTGCGTCCAGCTGCCATCTTCTCAGACATCACCATTCGTGAAGTCGGGGCCTCTCAGGTCTCGACCCCCGCGTTAGATGTTCGTCTCGGGTTATGCTGTTCCAACCTACTTTAGCCTTTGCCACCAGCAAGAATGTCGAGCACCAGCAAAGTACCGAAACTCGAGAGTTTTCACGTGTCGGGCCCTGGGAGACATTGTTTCGACACTTTTCCAGGTGCTCGAAATTATTTCATGGGATGTGGTCTTTAAGCACGATGGGGACAACATAAGCTTCGGGGACCATCCTGCGGGTCACCTAACGGATCTGTTTGAAGATGTTCTGAATATGTAGCAGCCCGCAGTTGCGGATAAGAGTGAGGGGCCAGGCGCGGGGTGGGTCGCGGGTGGGTCAGGAGCGGGTCGCGGGTGGGTCGCGGTTGGGTCGCGGGTGGGTCGCGGTTGGGTCGCGGTTGGGTCGCGGTTGGGTCGCGGGTGGGTCGCGGGTGAATCGCGGATGGGTCGCGGGTGGGTCGCGGGTGGGTCGCGGGTGGGTCGCGGGCGTGTCGCGGGTGGGTCGCGGGAGGGTCGCGGGTGGGTCGCGGGAGGGTCGTGGGCGTGATGCGGGAGGGTCGCGGATGGGTCGTGGGCCGCGTCGCGAGTGGAATTACGAAGACAACAACAAGCATACATACATGCGTACGCACGTACAAACAAACCAACAAGTCAACAAACAAACATGTAAAACACACTAACAACACGTACCGACAACACATACACTTAGACCTACACTTACAGCTACCATTACAACTACAACAACGGCACCAACAACACCATCAACAATAACAGTAACATCAATAACGACAAGAACAACTACAACAACACCAACAACAACAATCTGGTTCATCTTAAAAACGACTTGTGCGTTTTTAGCGTTTTCTAATATTGGCTTATGACAGGCTGAAAACGCTAAACACACGCTAAGTTGTTTTAGCGTTTTTATGGTTCTGGGAGGGTCGTTTTCAGATCCGTCGCTGCGGTACAGCGTTTTGTTGCGGTGTTTTGCATGATCGTCGAAGGCTCCGCCTTGTCTTCTCTGCCAGCTTGCCTCCCGCGCTCCCCGCCCTGCCACCGTTCGCCCTTTCTGCCCCCCTTCCCTCTCCCCTTCTCTCTCCCTCGAGACCTAAAAATCAAAGGCTCTGACACCGGTCTAGCACAGGCGCGGCACAGGCCCACAGACCCCAGGGCCCGCAGGCCCGGCGGGTTCCGAGGACAGCGAGCTTTCGGATTGAGCGGGCAGGAGGGCGCGCTAGGCCTCCAGGGGGGGGAAGGGGTGTTGGCAGCAGGGCGAGGGCGGGTTCGCTGCGAGGCACCAGCGACGGCCGCAGAAAAGCAAAATTGTGTAAAGAAGACGGTAGGGGCACGCAAGGAGAAGGACACACGCAAGCGACGGATCCGAACACGTTGAACAATTGTCTGGAAACGCCAAAACAACGCATCATTGTTCTAGTGTTTTCAGTTTTTTTGTTGAGACCTGGAAGCGTTACACCAAAACATTAATTCCAAGACGCCGAGCTGAAAACGCTAACAAACGCCAGGGGCAGATGTAAGATGAACCAAGAACAACAACCACGACACGACCAACAACAACAACGACAGCGATAACGACAACGACAACAACAATATTAATGTAATACTGCTTGCTCCTATCCGTTCGCGTGCCATTCAACACGTGCATCGCAAACCCTCGGTACCCGCCTTGTTTGTCTTCGATCGCACCTCCTTGAAAGCATTCCTTCGTGACCTGCCACGGGAATTTAGTGCAGCGCCTAAAACAGGGGAAGAGAGGACGGATGGAAGGGGGACGGAGACTGATGGAGGAGCACGAGAGAAATTAGCAGCAGGGGGGCAAGGAGCAGAAAACACGTGGCATAACCAGACGGGCAGATTGGGCAGGCAAGCCCTAGCGGGCGGGTCGGGAAGGCGGGCCCAGGCGGCCAGGTCGAGCAGGCGGGTTGCTTATGCGTGAGCCCTGCATGAATCGCGAGAAAGCTCTTTAGCGACAGCGCGATTCCTAAGTAAAACATGAAAAAGGCCAAAGCGAGAGCTTGATTCCTGAGTACCGAGGGCGCGGCGTCGAAGTAAATTATGAAGAAGTCCCCCACGACAGCACCATTCCTGCGTCCACTGTGAGGAGGTCCCGCGCGAATGCGCGAGTGTGGAATACATGGTGACGGTGTATCAGGCGGGAGCCGTTGTTGTTGTAGTTTGGGGCCCAACAGCCCAGTGTGAGCACGATGGTTTTCCCTGATAAAAAGCTGGGTGCGAGCCCCGGTGGGGGGCATTTCAACTGAAAGACACAATGTGCATTGGTGGATCAACAACAATACATATTCTTTAAGAACGAACGTTCAAAAATCCGCACCGCGGAGCCCCGCTTCAGCCATGCACCCAGGGACAGCGAATGACCATTCGGCCCCCTCTCTTTCATATTTCGATTATAGTTCGATTCTAACTCAACTCAAAGTCGATTCAAGTTTGACTCAACTTCGGTTCTAGTCGACGGACATTTGAGACAGCATCGACGCACGTGTGGAGCGAGTGGCTCCAGGAAGGTCCCCCAAACGACCACCTAAGCGTGCGTTGGGGCCAGTATGCTATCCCAGGACGGTTCCGTGGACGGTCCCAGGGGCCCGATGGGGGCCCCGGAGAGCCAGAAATACACATCATTTCTAGCATGATTTTCCCGGGTCGACAGGTGTTGATTTGGATAACCGATGGGGGGCCCAATGGGGGCAGGAGGATTGCAAGTGTATGTTAAGGTGGGCTTTGGCTGCATTTGGTTAGTCAGTGGGTTTACAGTGCTCTACGTGGTTCACGCGTTAAAGATTCGGGCTACGTGAGCCCCACCCATTTAGCGGAGTTAGCTACACTCTTTCATCCATCCAGAGTTTATGTAATTTGCTCATGACTTCTGCTAGGCCGCATTCCATCCGCCTTTGCATCTTAACAACAAAGCATCCCCTTAGCAACCCCGTCGGCAGAGATGCCCACAGAGGGCTAACAAAAACTAATAAGTGTCGGTCTGCTATCCTCCATCTTCGAAGGAGTCGGGAGATGGCTTTCGGTGTTGACCGCAGCCTTCCAGCATTCGCGCGGACGACCGCCAAAGGCCACCCAGTGGCCAGCGATTCTACCGCCAGAGAGCGCCAATCACCGCCGAACGATTGCTGGTTATTACCGCTGGAAGACCGCGGATGTTCCAGAGCATTCATAAGAGGCAAGGGTACCCAGACTGCTACCCTCCCCTCGTTTTCCTCCTTTGCGGGCCTCCTGGGAGCCCCTCGTCGCCACCTCAGGATCCGCCTCGAAATCCTAGTCAGAACGCATCCTGGGAGGGGTCCAGGGAGAAGCGGTATCAGTACCGTTGGTCCCCCCAGATTTAAAGATGTCCTTGGTCGTGTGGGCCTACTGGTCGTCGTAGGTCTCGTGGTGGTGGTTGTTGTCTGCGTCCCCCCGCGTTCGTGCTTGTCGTTGTAGTTGTTGTGGTCGTCGTCTGCGTCTCCGTGTCGTCGTGGGCGTCGGCTGTACTGGTCGGCTGGCGTCTGCCCAATATCAAGATCAGGCACCTCATGGTTCCTGTCCCGTCTTGCCTCTCGACGCGCCAGTAAGAGCGCCACCCGCAGGAGTTCAGGAGCACGCTGCAGAGCGAGCTCATCCTCAGCGAGCGGGAGGCGAGACCCATCTTCCGCTTCCTGCTCTTCCTGCGCTTGTCTCAGCAGGGGTGGAGCAGATACCGCTACCTTCTCTCTTTGTTTCCACCTTTGGGGCCTCCTGGGAGGCCCTCGACACCACGGCTGGAGTTGCCTCAGAATCTTCGTCAGAACGCACCCCATGGGGAGGTCTGGGGAGTAGCGGCATCAGTAGCTTTGGTTCCTTCGTCTCCGCCCCGTGTTCCTCCATCTTTCTATATCTCCTCCTCCTCCCTCTCCTCCTCTTGCTTCGGTGCGGATCGTACGCGCGCGTCGTCTACGAGGTCATCGCCGTCCTGGTGGTCTTCGTGCTCGAGGCTGTGCTTCTCCTGTACAGTGAACCGACAGAGCGCGTTCTGTGGTAGCCTGCAGGAGGGGAGGAGTCCCCGGCGCTCTCTGGCAGGGTCCAGGGGCTCGGGGGTCGCTCAGGAAACCGTCGGGGACGCTTCCAAGAGCTCGAAGATGTTTCCCTTCGGTTTCAGATGGGCGTCGGAGAGGCACCCCAGCCAGCATCCAGATACCCCAAGTGAGGGCCCCAGGGGCCCCGCAATACCTGAGAGAGCTGCAAGAAGCGCCTGAGAGGCTCTCATCCTCCTGATCCTCCTCGCCGTCTCTCCGTAGCAATTTTTGGTTCACGGCTACCTAGAGGCCCTCCCCCCGCTCTGCTTGTCCTCTTCCCTAGCACCCAGGAGACCACCGCCTTTCTGTGACCATGGCCAATGCCGCGGAGCTCATGCGGATATGTGCCCCACTGTACCCGTCCATCGCCCTGGAGAGCATGGCGAACATCGGGCTGTTTCTGTTCTTCTCGTATTTGTCCATCCTCATCTCCACGAAGCAGCAGGTGAAGACGCCAGGGAGGGCGATTTGTCGGATGGTATGGAGCGGCCTTTCGGAGTGGGCGGAGGACACTTGGAGGGTCTTGCGCAGGTGGCCTCACATGCACAGAATGGAGCTCGGCCAACGTTTCCGCTACTGCCGGAGGCTCAACGCGACCATCTGTCGAGTATCAGCTGGCATCGCGCTCATTACGATCACCCGATGGTTCCACATCAACAACGTGAACGGCTTCCGCTACCTCGGGTACGCCCTCACTTGCCCCCTGATGCAGGCCGAGCTCGTGCTGCTCATCGCGCCGCACATCTGGTGCTACAGGCTCTTAACGGTCTTCTCGGCCGTCATCACTTTCGGCATGCTCGTCACAGGCTACGCTGCGTCCCAGTTCGAGGGGCAGATGTGGAAGAACAGTTTCGCGGACTTCTATGACGAAGTCCTGGAAGGTAACCTGGACAGTCTGACCACGAAGGGATGGTGGTTGATGCCGAGCATGCTGGCACTGTGCTTCCTCTCCTTTGTGCAGATCCCAATGCTTGGCCTCGTGTACTACTGGAACGGCGGCTCGAAGAATGAAGACCTGCCGAAAGGCTTCCCTAAGCTCCTGTTGATCACGTCTCTCTCGTGGCTGGGCTTCCCCATCTGGTGGTTCCTGTCGTTCGAGGGGGCCAGCATCATCACGGAGACCAGGTGGAACGCCGTTGGTTTTGTGTGCCTGAACATGACCAGCAAGGGCGGCTTCACCCTGCAGATGCTGAGCATGGTGAAGGCGTGGAAGCGCCAGCAGGCCCAGAAGCCAAAGCCCCAGGCCCCCCCGCAGGCCAAGGGGCTGCAGGAGCGCAGGCTCAGCAGCGCGACGCTGCCCGACTTGGACCCCCCTGCGCAGAAGGCCGCCCCGGAGGCCCCCGCGGTGCGGTCCGCCAAGAGGATCCAGACGGGCCAGTCGCTGCAGTGGTTCGTCGACGCCATGAAGGAGTGGGAGCCGCAGGAGCCGACCCCTGCCGCGCAGAAGGTTGCCAGCCTGGAACATATCCCTCTCCCTATGTTGGGCATCGCCTCATCACCATGGCGATCTCAGGGATCTCCTCAGTTTCTGAGGGTGTATCCCTAAGATTGTCATCTCCTTTGGGCGTGTCAATCCTAGGGATAGGGATGTGTTCCAGGCTGGCAAGAAGGCGAGCACGGGGCCAGAGGCCGAGGTCGAGCGAGTGGTGATCACGGACCCGGGCCAGCTCAACGACGAGCAGCTCATGCAGGAGTTGGGGAAGCGCCTGGCCGCGCACGGGCCGAAGCACGCGCTGAACCACTCCATCCGCCAGGCGTGCACCAAGATCCTCGAGGGCGAGGAGAGCGAG